ACTTTTTAGATGATTTATTAGGAACTGTGATATCTCAAAACAGAATTACAGAATTTGGTACAGATGGCCACGCGATTCGTGCCTTACTTTACGCGACAGTCCCAAACTCACAAATTGAGTTGAAATTTTCTAAAGTTTTTCGCTAACGTTTCCGTTCATTTTCCCTAGCTTCCATTCTAATTCTCATCAAGCTCTCACTTTTAATTTCGTCAGGTGTTTTTTTCGTCATTCGGCGCTTGCGAAATAGCATTTTGAAGATAACTAGACCATATGCCCAGCTGCTGAAGCGAACTCTTGACGGCATGTGACAAATCTGTGATTTGTGTGTTCGAGACGATGGACTAACGTTGTGTTGGGCATTCGATTCTCTCCGCCGTCCGTCAGTTGGCCGAGTATCCGATGAATCTCGGCGCCCCTCTTCCTCAGATGTTCCCTCGCTTGCGTTTTGTCTTGCACTTGGGAATTTCCAAGTGCGAAAAAGAATGCAGGTTGCATTTTAGCATTTTTCTGTGGTGCTCGAGCTCTCGTCCTCCTATTCTTCGTTAGTATACTGCTTTATTCCTAATTCAAAATACAGCTACAACAATGATAGAATTATCATTAATGTTGGTATAATTCTACTAAGGTGGTTACAAGCTATATGAAATACTCAGCAAAACTGAGCAAATCAAATACCCTAGTACGACTTTATCGATTTCAACGTTGTCTTCCAATCCCAACTGCATCAATATCTAGTCATAATAATCGAACGTTGTCTCTCTTCAAACGTCACGACATCAAAAAGTAGAATGGAATTTGATAGTTTGTAATTTCACCTTTGCAGTCCTTCAATATTTTCATTGCAGTCTCTCACATTGCATTAAAGTCAATGCTTCCTATTTTTTCACATTTGGAAATATTGATTTTGGGCTGTAATATGATTTTCTGTAATTTTTTTACTTCCATTTCCTTGCATACATACATTTGCTCCTGCATTGCATGCTATACCTTTCTTCCTCGTATCAGTTATTTCCTTCCAGCGTGCGGACGGAATGTCAGAAATTCCAATACCCGCTGCTGTTTGCTTTCAGTCGAG